TTAGTATCCGTTTGGGTCAGTTTGGGATCACTTTGAGGATATTGGGGTCACTTGGGGGTCACTTTAGGGACATTTGGGGTCAGTTTAGGGTTTTTTTGGGGGAGCTTTGGGGTCATTTGGGGTCATTGGGTCATTTAGGGTCACTTTAGGTTCAGTTCATGGTTTTTTGGGGGCACTTTGGGGTCACTTTTGGTCACTTTGGGGTCAGTTTGGGGTCACTTTGCCGTCAATTTGGGGTAATTCGGGCTCACATTGGGGACATTTGGGGTAATTGGGGTCAGTTTAGGGTCAGTTTAGGGGTTTTGGGGTCACTTTGGGGCAGTTTGGGGTCTTTTGGAATCAGTTTGGGGTCAGCAGGGACTTTGGGGTGATTAAGGGTCAGTTTGGGCTGTTTGGAGTCATTTAGGGCAATTTGGGGTCACTTTGGGGTCATCGGGGACATTGGGGTCACTTTGGGGCCATTTGGGATTTTTGGGTTTTTTGAGGCCTACCTTGAGCTTCATGGGGAGTTTTGGGAGAAGATTTTGGGGGATTTTTAGGGATTTTTTGGATTTTGGGTTTTTTGGGGCTCACCTGGAGCTTTGCGGGGAGATTTTGTTGGATTTTTGGGGGTTTTTGGGTGTTCTGGCTGTGGGTTGGGATTTTGGGGGGTTCATGGAGAGGTCGGGAGGGATTTTGGGGCGGTTTTGGTGTTTTTTGGGTCTCACCTGGAGCTTCATGCGCAGGTCGGTGCAGGTGGAGAGCTGGTCCAGGCGCCGCGCGGCCGCTTCCACCTGGCTGCAGTAGCGGCCGTACAGCAGGAACCTGAGGGGAACCCAAAATCAACAAAAATTCACCCAAAATCAACCAAATTCCAACAAATCCAACAAAATTCACACAAAATTCCAAAAAAATGCATCCAAAATCCACCAAAATCCACCCAAAATCCACCTGGCTGCAGTAGCGGCCGTACAGCAGGAACCTGGGTGTGAACACAAAATCAACCAAAGTAACCCAAAATCTGACAAAATTCACAAAAATTCCAACAAAATTCACGCCAAAATTTGAAAAAACACAATGGAAATCTGCCCAAAATCAACAAAATCCACCCAAAATTCAACAAAATCCACCCAAAATCCACCTGGCTGCAGTAGCGGCCGTACAGCAGGAACCTGACATGGAAACCCAAAATCATCCAAATTAACCCAAAATCCAACAAAATTCACCCAAAATCCAACAAAAGCCAACAAAATTCACACAAAATTCCAAAAAAATTCATCCAAAATCCAACAAAATCCACCCAAATCCACCTGGCTGCAGTAGCGGCCGTACAGCAGGAACCTGACATGGAAACCCAAAATCACCCCAAATTAACCCAAATCCAACAAAATTCACCCAAAATCCTACAAAATTCATGCAAAATCAAAAAAAATTCAAAGAAAAATCAAAAGAATTCATGGAAATCCTCCCCAAAATCCACCTGGCTGCAGTAACGGCTGCAGAGAAGGAACCTGGGGGGAAACCCAAAATCAAACAAAATTAACCCAAAAATTCACTCAAAATTAACCAAATTCCAACAAAATTGCTACAAAAATTTAAAAAATCTGACAAATCCACCAAAATCCACCCCAAATCCACCTGGCTGCAGTAGCGGCCGTACAGCAGGAACCTGGGAGGGGAAACCCCAAATCACCCCAAATTAACCCAAAATCTGACAAAATTCGCAAAATTCCAACAAAATTCATGCCAAAATTTAAAAAAATACAACGGAAATCTGCCCAAAATCCAACAAATCCACCCAAAATCCAACAAAATCCACCTGCTGCAGTAATGGTCGTAGAGCAGGAACCTAGTGTGGAAACCCCAAATCCGACAAAATTCGCCCCAAATTCACTCAAAATCGACCCAAATTCATCCAAAATCCAACAAAATCCAACAAAATTCACCCAAAATCCGACAAAATTCACCCAAATTCAACAAAATTACCCAAAATGCAACAAAATTCACCCAAAATCCACCTGGCTGCAGTAGTGGCTGTAGTGGAGGAACCTGCCATGGAAACCCAAAATCTAACAAAATCTGACAAAATTCACCCAAAATTCACCAAAATTCTCACAAAATCCAACAAAATTCACACAAAATAAATTTTAAAAATTGTCCAAAATCCAACAAAATCCAACAAAAATCCACCCGGCTGCAGTAACGGCCGTACAGCAGGAACCTGGGGTGGAAACCCCAAAATCCGACAAAATTCACCCAAAATCCAACAAAATTCACCCAAAATCCAACAAAATTCACGCAAACTTAAAAAAACAATTATCTGCTTAAAATCCACCCAAATCCCCCCACCCAGTGACCCCCAAATCCTTCTCAGGACCCCCCAAATTCCCCCCCTTAATCCTCTCCGGACCCCCCAAAATCCCCCTAAATCTCCCAAGACCCCTCCAAATTCCCCTCAGGACCTCCCCAAACCCCCCCAAATCGCCCCCAAATTCCCCCCATAACCCCCCAAGACCCCCTGGACCCCCCCAAATCCCCTCAGGGCCCCCTTGAAACCCCACAGATCCCCCCCCAAAACCCCCAAAATCCCCCCCCCCAGGACCCCCAAACCCTTCCAAGCTCCCCCGCCCCCTCCCCACATCGCCCCCCAAATTCCCCCAGGACCCCCAAACCCCCCGAAATCCCCCCAGAATCGCCCCCAAATTCTCCCCAAGAGGCCCCAGAACTCCCCTAAATCCCCCCCAGGACCCTCCAAAACTGCTCCCAAATCCCCCCAAATGCCTTCAGGACCCCCCAAAATCGCCCCAAACCCCCACCCCCAGACCCCCCGAACCTCCCAATTCCGCCCCCAAAATCCCCCCAAATCCCCCTAAATCCCCTCAGGACCCCCTAAAATCCCCCCAAGACCCTCTCGGGACCCCCCAAACCCCCCCAGAACCCCCCAGAATCGCCCCAAACCCCCACCCCCGGACCCCCCAAGCCCCCGGGGGCAGCGCCCGCTGCCCCCCGGCCCCCCCCAAAATCCCCTCCTGACCCCCCCCCAAACACCCTCAGGACCCCCCAAATCCCCCCAAGACCCCCCAAATTATCCTCAGAACCCCCTGGGTCCTCCCCAAAAGCCACCCATGACCCCCGAAATCCCCCTCAGGACCTCCCCAAAAATTCCCCCAAATCCCCCTGAATCCCCTCAGGACCCCCCCCCCCAGATGTCCCCAAATCCCCCCAGGACCGCCCAAACCCCCCCAGGACCCCCCGAAATCGCCCCAAAATCCCCCCAAGCCCCCCCCCCCCGCCCCCGTACCTCTCCTTGTACTGCAGGAACAGGGGGGGCAGCGCCCGCCCCCCCCCGGGCCCCCCCAGCGCCCCCCGGAGCTCCCCCAGGAAACGGCGATGGAGCCCCAGCAGCTCCTGCGGGGGACGGACTGGGGTTACTGGGAGGGACTGGGAATGGGCACTGGGAGCACTGGGAGAGCCCCAGCAGCTCCTGAGAGAGCGAACTGGGGTTACTGGGAGGGACTGGGAGCGCTGGGAATGGACTGGGAGCACTGGGAGCACTGGGAGCGCTGGGAATGGACTGGGAATGGACTGGGAGCACTGGGAGAGCCCCAGCAGCTCCTGAGAGAGCGAACTGGGGTTACTGGGAGGGACTGGGAGCGCTGGGAATGGACTGGGAGCACTGGGAATGGGGATTGGGAATGGACTGGGAGCAATGGGAGAGCCCCAGCAGCTCCTGAGAGAGGGGACTGGGGTTACTGGGAGCGAATTGGGAACACTGGGAGCACTGGGAATGGACTGGGAATGGGCACTGGGAGCACTGGGAGTGTCCCAGCAGCTCCTGAGAGAGCAAACTGGGGTTACTGGGAGGGACTGGGAGCGCTGGGAATGGACTGGGAGCACTGGGAGCGCTGGGAATGGACTGGGAATGGACTGGGAGCACTGGGAGTGTCCCAGCAGCTCCTGAGAGAGGGAACTGGGGTTACTGGGAGGGACTGGGAGCGCTGGGAATGGACTGGGAGCACTGGGAGAGCCCCAGCAGCTCCTGGGAGAGGGAACGGACTGGGGTTACTGGGAGGGACTGGGAGCGGACTGGGAGCACTGGGAGCACTGGGAATGGGGATTGGGAATGGACTGGGAGCACTGGGAGCACTGGGAATGGGGACTGGGAATGGACTGGGAGCACTGGGAGAGCCCCAGCAGCTCCTGAGAGAGCGAACTGGGGTTACTGGGAGGGACTGGGAGCGCTGGGAGCGGACTGGGAGCACTGGGAGCGCTGGGAATGGGGACTGGGAATGGACTGGGAGCACTGGGAGAGCCCCAGCAGCTCCTGGGGGAGGGAACGGACTGGGGTTACTGGGAGCACTGGGAGCACTGGGAGCGCTGGGAATGGACTGGGAATGGACTGGGAGCACTGGGAGCGCTGGGAATGGGGACTCGGAATGGACTGGGAGCACTGGGAGCGCTGGGAATGGGGACTGGGAATGGACTGGGAGCACTGGGAGTGTCCCAGCAGCTCCTGGGGGAGGGAACGGACTGGGGTTACTGGGAGCACTGGGAGCACTGGGAGCGCTGGGAATGGACTGGGAATGGACTGGGAGCACTGGGAGTGTCCCAGCAGCTCCTGAGAGAGGGAACTGGGGTTACTGGGAGGGACTGGGAGCGCTGGGAATGGACTGGGAATGGGCACTGGGAGCACTGGGAGAGCCCCAGCAGCTCCTGAGAGAGGGGACTGGGGTTACTGGGAGCGAATTGGGAACACTGGGAGCACTGGGAATGGACTGGGAATGGGCACTGGGAGCACTGGGAGTGTCCCAGCAGCTCCTGAGAGAGCAAACTGGGGTTACTGGGAGGGACTGGGAGCGCTGGGAATGGACTGGGAGCACTGGGAGCACTGGGAATGGGGACTGGGAATGGACTGGGAGCACTGGGAGAGCCCCAGCAGCTCCTGAGAGAGCGAACTGGGGTTACTGGGAGGGACTGGGAGCGCTGGGAGCGGACTGGGAGCACTGGGAGCACTGGGAATGGGGATTGGGAATGGACTGGGAGCACTGGGAGAGCCCCAGCAGCTCCTGAGAGAGCGAACTGGGGTTACTGGGAGGGACTGGGAGCGCTGGGAGCGGACTGGGAGCACTGGGAGCGCTGGGAATGGACTGGGAATGGACTGGGAGCACTGGGAGAGCCCCAGCAGCTCCTGGGGGAGGGAACGGACTGGGGTTACTGGGAGCACTGGGAGCACTGGGAGCGCTGGGAATGGACTGGGAATGGACTGGGAGCACTGGGAGCGCTGGGAATGGGGACTGGGAATGGACTGGGAGCACTGGGAGTGTCCCAGCAGCTCCTGGGGGAGGGAACGGACTGGGGTTACTGGGAGCACTGGGAGCACTGGGAGCGCTGGGAATGGACTGGGAATGGACTGGGAGCACTGGGAGTGTCCCAGCAGCTCCTGAGAGAGGGAACTGGGGTTACTGGGAGGGACTGGGAGCGCTGGGAATGGACTGGGAGCACTGGGAGAGCCCCAGCAGCTCCTGGGAGAGGGAACGGACTGGGGTTACTGGGAGGGACTGGGAGCGGACTGGGAGCACTGGGAGCACTGGGAATGGGGATTGGGAATGGACTGGGAGCACTGGGAGCACTGGGAATGGGGACTGGGAATGGACTGGGAGCACTGGGAGAGCCCCAGCAGCTCCTGAGAGAGGGAACTGGGGTTACTGGGAGGGACTGGGAGCGCTGGGAATGGACTGGGAATGCACTGGGAGCACTGGGAGCGCTGGGAATGGGGACTGGGAATGGACTGGGAGCACTGGGAGTGTCCCAGCAGCTCCTGAGAGAGCAAACTGGGGTTACTGGGAGGGACTGGGAGCGCTGGGAATGGACTGGGAGCACTGGGAGCACTGGGAATGGGGACTGGGAATGGACTGGGAGCACTGGGAGAGCCCCAGCAGCTCCTGAGAGAGCGAACTGGGGTTACTGGGAGGGACTGGGAGCGCTGGGAGCGGACTGGGAGCACTGGGAGCGCTGGGAATGGGGACTGGGAATGGACTGGGAGCACTGGGAGAGCCCCAGCAGCTCCTGGGGGAGGGAACGGACTGGGGTTACTGGGAGCACTGGGAGCACTGGGAGCGCTGGGAATGGACTGGGAATGGACTGGGAGCACTGGGAGCGCTGGGAATGGGGACTGGGAATGGACTGGGAGCACTGGGAGTGTCCCAGCAGCTCCTGGGGGAGGGAACGGACTGGGGTTACTGGGAGCACTGGGAGCACTGGGAGCGCTGGGAATGGACTGGGAATGGACTGGGAGCACTGGGAGTGTCCCAGCAGCTCCTGAGAGAGGGAACTGGGGTTACTGGGAGGGACTGGGAGCGCTGGGAATGGACTGGGAATGGGCACTGGGAGCACTGGGAGAGCCCCAGCAGCTCCTGAGAGAGGGGACTGGGGTTACTGGGAGCGAATTGGGAACACTGGGAGCACTGGGAATGGACTGGGAATGGGCACTGGGAGCACTGGGAGTGTCCCAGCAGCTCCTGAGAGAGCGAACTGGGGTTACTTGGAGGGACTGGGAGCGCTGGGAATGGACTGGGAGCACTGGGAGCACTGGGAATGGGGACTGGGAATGGACTGGGAGCACTGGGAGAGCCCCAGCAGCTCCTGAGAGAGCGAACTGGGGTTACTGGGAGGGACTGGGAGCGCTGGGAGCGGACTGGGAGCACTGGGAGCACTGGGAATGGGGATTGGGAATGGACTGGGAGCACTGGGAGAGCCCCAGCAGCTCCTGAGAGAGCGAACTGGGGTTACTGGGAGGGACTGGGAGCGCTGGGAGCGGACTGGGAGCACTGGGAGCGCTGGGAATGGGGACTGGGAATGGACTGGGAGCACTGGGAGAGCCCCAGCAGCTCCTGGGGGAGGGAACGGACTGGGGTTACTGGGAGCACTGGGAGCGCTGGGAGCGCTGGGAATGGACTGGGAATGGACTGGGAGCACTGGGAGCGCTGGGAATGGGGACTGGGAATGGACTGGGAGCACTGGGAGCGCTGGGAATGGGGACTGGGAATGGACTGGGAGCACTGGGAGTGTCCCAGCAGCTCCTGGGGGAGGGAACGGACTGGGGTTACTGGGAGCACTGGGAGCACTGGGAGCGCTGGGAATGGACTGGGAATGGACTGGGAGCACTGGGAGTGTCCCAGCAGCTCCTGAGAGAGGGAACTGGGGTTACTGGGAGGGACTGGGAGCGCTGGGAATGGACTGGGAGCACTGGGAGAGCCCCAGCAGCTCCTGGGAGAGGGAACGGACTGGGGTTACTGGGAGGGACTGGGAGCGGACTGGGAGCACTGGGAGCACTGGGAATGGGGATTGGGAATGGACTGGGAGCACTGGGAGCGCTGGGAATGGGGACTGGGAATGGACTGGGAGCACTGGGAGAGCCCCAGCAGCTCCTGAGAGAGGGAACTGGGGTTACTGGGAGGGACTGGGAGCGCTGGGAATGGACTGGGAATGCACTGGGAGCACTGGGAGCGCTGGGAGCACTGGGAATAGACTGGGAATGGACTGGGAGCACTGGGAGTGTCCCCGCAGCTCCTGCAGGGAACGGACTGGGGTTACTGGGAGCACTGGGAGCACTGGGAGCGCTGGGAGCGCTGGGAATGGACTGGGAATGGACTGGGAGCACTGGGAGAGCCCCAGCAGCTCCTGAGAGAGGGAACTGGGGTTACTGGGAGGGACTGGGAGCGCTGGGAATGGACTGGGAGCACTGGGAGCGCTGGGAATGGGGACTGGGAATGGACTGGGAGCACTGGGAGAGCCCCAGCAGCTCCTGCGAATGTACTGGGATTACTGGGAGCACTGGGAACGCTGGGAACGGACTGGGGTTACTGGGAGCACTGGGAATGGACTGGGAATGGGCACTGGGAGCACTGGGAGTACTGGGAATGGACTGGGAACACTGGGAACGGACTGGGAATGGACTGGGAACAGACTGGGAGCACTGGGAGCACTGGGAGCAATAGGAGAGTTCGGGAGGTTACTGGGAACAGTGGGGGGGTACTGGGAGTGCTGGGAAGGGTCACTGGTGTCACTGGTGTCACTGGTCAGTGTCCCCCTGTCCCCCTGTCCCCATTGTCACCGTCACCTCCCCGTCACTGGTGTCACTGATGTCACTGGTGTCACCTGTCAGTGTCACTGGTCAATGTCAACAAGTCCCCAAGTCCCCATTGTCACCTCCACATTGATGAAGATGCTCTCCATGTCCCCATGTCCCCTGTCCTGGTGTCCCCATTGTCCCTGTGTCCCCACTGTCACCTCCACGTTGATGAAGATGCTTTCCACGTCCCCATGTCTCATGTCCCTCTGTCCCCATGTCCCCTGTCCCTGTCACTGTCACCTCCACGTTGATGAAGACGCTCTCCATGTCCCCCTGTCCCCATGTCCCGGTGTCCCTCTGTCCCCATTGTCACTGTCACCTCCATGTCACCGGTGTCACTGATCAGTGTCATTGCTCAGTGTCACTGGTCAGAGTCCCCATGTCCTGGTGTCCCCATTGTCCCTGTGTCCCCACTGTCACCTCCACGTTGATGAAGACACTCTCCATGTCCCATGTCCCTCTGTCCCCCTGTCCCCCTGTCCCCCGTCCCCTGTCATTGTCCCCTCCATGTTGATGAAGACGCTCTCCATGTCCCCCTGTCCCATGTCCCCATTGTCACTGTCACCTCCCCATCACTGGTGTCACTGGTGTCACTGGTCAGTGTCCCCCTGTCCCCCTGTCATTGTCCCCTCCACGTAGATGAAGACGCTCTCCATGTCCCCCTGTCCCCATGTCCCCCTGTCCCCCTGTCCCCATTGTCACTGTCACCTCCATGTCACCGGTGTCACTGATCAGTGTCATTGCTCAGTGTCACTGGTCAGAGTCCCCATGTCCTGGTGTCCCATGTCCCCTGTCCCCCTGTCCCCATGTCCCCTGTCCCCACTGTCACCTCCACGTTGATGAAGACACTCTCCATGTCCCCATGTCCCATGTCCCTCTGTCCCCCTGTCCCCATGTCCCCCGTCCCCTGTCACTGTCACCTCCACGTTGATGAAGTCGCTCTCCATGTCCCCATGTCCCCTGTCCCCATTGTCACTGTCACCTCCCCATCACTGGTGTCACTGGTGTCACTGGTGTTACTGGTCAGTGTCACTGGTGTCACTGGTGTCATTGGTCATTGTCCCTCTGTCATTGTCACCTCCACGTTGATGAAGACGCTCTCCATGTCCCGGGGGCTCAGGAAGTGCCGCAGCGGCCGCAGGAAGTGCTGGGGACACCGGGGGACATTGGGGGACATCAGGGGACACCAGGGGACACCAGGGGACATTGGAGGACACCGTGCCTTACTGGGAGCACTGGGAGGCCACCTCTGTCCCCAGTGCCCCCAGTGTCCCCAATGCCCCCACTGTCACCAATGTCCCCAATCCTCCCAGTGTCCCCAATGTCCCCAATGTCCCCATTGTCCCCAATGTCCCCAAGGTGTTGCCACCTGGCAGATGGACTCCAGGGTCTCCGTGTACCCAATGCCCCTGATGTCCCCAATGCCCCCAATGTCCCCAATGTCCCCACTGTCCCCAATGTCCCCAATGTCCCCCTTGTCCCCAGTGTCCCCAGTGTCCCAGTGTCCCCAGTGTCCCCCTTGTCCCCAGTGTCCCAGTGTCCCCAGTGTTCCCAATATCCCCCCAATGTCCTCAATGTCCCCAGTGTCCCACCTGGCAGATGGACTCCAGGGTCTCCATGTCCCCAATGTCCCCAATGTCCCCAATGTCCCCAATGTCCCCAGTGTCCCACCTGGCAGATGGACTCCAGGGTCTCCGTGTATCTCTCCTCCGTCTGCCGCAGCTCCTGGAGGCAGCAGAGTCGCCGGTCCACGGCCCCCTTCTGTGGGGACATTGGGGACATTGGGGACAGAGGGGACATGGGGGACATCGGGGACATTGGGGGGATTGGGGACATTGGGGACATCAGGGACGCAGGGGACACTGGGGACACTGGGGACAGTCAGAAACCTCCCCTTCTGTGGGGACACGGGGACATCAGGGACAGTGGGCACATGGGGACACAGAGGACAAGGGGACAGAGGGGACAAGGGGACAATCAGGAACCCACCCTTCTGTGGGGATGTGGGGACATTGGGGACAGAGGGGACAGAGGGGACAGTGAGGACAGTGAGGACACTGGGGACACAGGGGACAATCAGGAGCATCCCGCCTTCTGTGGGGACATGGGGACAGTGGGGACACAGGGGACACAGGGGACACAGGGGACACAGGGGACATCAGGGGACATTGGGGACACTGAGGACAAGGGGACAGTCAGGAACCTCCTCCTTTCTGTGGGGACATGGGGACAGTGGGGACAATCAGGAATCCCCCGTTCTGTGGGGACAAGGGGACATTCGGGACATTGGGGACAGTGGGAACATTCGGAGACAATCAGGAACCCCCCTTCTGTGGGGACATGGGGACAAGAGGACAGAGGGGACAAGGGGACACAGGGGACAGCCACCCCCTTGTGTGTCCCCTGTGTCAGGGGACAAGGGGACCCAGGGGACAGAGGGGACAATCAGCTCTACCCCCCTTCTGTGGGGACACAGGGGACATTGGGGACAGAGGGGACACTGGGGACACAGGGGACATTGGGGACATTGGGGACAGAGGGGACACTGGGGACACAGGGGACATTGGGGACATTGGGGACACAGGGGACATTGGGGACATTGGGGACATTGGGGACACAGGGGACACAGGGGACAAGGGGACAACCAGGAACCCGCTCTTCTGTGACGACATGGGGACGTCAGGGACATTGGGGACACAGGGGACACAGGGGACAATCAGCTCTGCCCCCCTTCTGTGGGGACACAAGGGACATTGGGGATGGAGGGGACACTGGGGACAGAGGGGACATCGGGGACATTGGGGACACAGGGGACAGAGGGGACAATCAGCTCTTCCCCCGTTCTGTGGGGACACAGGTGACACAGGGGACATCAGGGACATTGGGGACACTGGGGACAATCAGGAACCCTCCTCTTCTGTGGGGACACAGGGGACACAGAGGACACAGGGGACAGAGGGGACAATCAGGTATCTTTGGGGGTTCCCATCTGTTTTTTGGGGTGTCCCAGCTGTGTTTGGGGGTGTCCCAGTTCTATTTTGGGGCTCCCATCTATTTTTGGGGTTCCCAGTTCTGGTTTTGGGGCTCCCATCTATTTTTGGGGTTCCCAGTTCTGGTTTTGGGGCTCCCATCTATTTTTGGGGTGTCCCAGGTGTTTTTTTGGAGTGTCCCAGGTATTTTTTGGGGTTCCCAGATATTTTGGGGATTCCCATCTCTTTTTGGGGTGTTTCCAAGTACTTTTGGGACCTCCCAGTTATTTTTTGGGGGTGTCCCAGCTGTTTTTGGGGGTGTCTCAGGTATTTTTGGGGGTTCCCAGGTGTTTTTTGGGTGTCCCAGCTATTTTTGGGGGTCCCATCTATTTTTGGGGTGTCCCAGCTCTATATTTTGGGATGTCCCAGCTATTTTTGGGGTTCTCAGCTCTGTTTCTGGGGTTCCCAGCTCTATTTTGGAGTGTCCCAGGTATTTTTTGGGGTGTCCCAGGTGTTTTTGGTGTGTCCCAGGTGTTTTTGGGGGTTCCCAGTTCTATTTTGGGGTTCCCAGCTCTGTTTTTGGGGTGTCCCGGGTGTTTTTGGAGTGTCTCAGGTATTTTTTGGGGTTCCCAGGTGTTTTTGGGGGTTCCCAGCTCTATTTTGGGGTGTCCCATCTCTATTTTGGGGTGTCCCAGGTATTTTTGGGGCATTCTCAACTCTTTTTGGGGTTCCCAGATATTTGGGGTGGTTCTCAGATATTTTTGGGGATTCCCAGGTGTTTTTGGGGTGTCCCAGCTCTATTTTGGGGTGTCCCGGGTGGTTTTTGGGGTGTCCTGGGAATTTTTGGGGTGTCCCAGCTCTATTTTGGGGTGTCCCGGGTGTTTTTTGGGGTGTCCTGGGTATTTTTGGGGTGTCCCAGCTCTATTTTGGGGTGTCCCGGGTGTTTTTTGGGGTGTCCTGGGTATTTTTGGGGTGTCCCAGCTCTATTTTGGGGTGTCCCGGGTGTTTTTTGGGGTGTCCTGGGTATTTTTGGGGTGTCCCAGCTCTATTTTGGGGTGTCCCGGGTGTTTTTTGGGGTGTCCTGGGTATTTTTGGGGTGTCCCAGCTCTATTTTGGGGTGTCCCGGGTGTTTTTTGGGGTGTCCTGGGTATTTTTGGGGTGTCCCAGCTCTATTTTGGGGTGTCCCGGGTGTTTTTTGGGGTGTCCTGGGTATTTTTGGGGTGTCCCAGCTCTATTTTGGGGTGTCCCGGGTGTTTTTTGGGGTGTCCTGGGTATTTTTGGGGTGTCCCAGCTCTATTTTGGGGTGTCCCGGGTGTTTTTTGGGGTGTCCTGGGTATTTTTGGGGTGTCCCAGCTCTATTTTGGGGTGTCCCGGGTGTTTTTTGGGGTGTCCTGGGTATTTTTGGGGTGTCCCAGCTCTATTTTGGGGTGTCCCGGGTGTTTTTTGGGGTGTCCTGGGTATTTTTGGGGTGTCCCAGCTCTATTTTGGGGTGTCCCGGGTGTTTTTTGGGGTGTCCTGGGTATTTTTGGGGTGTCCCAGCTCTATTTTGGGGTGTCCCGGGTGTTTTTGGGGCGCGGGTCGCACCCACCGCGGCCGGGGGCGGCTCCACCCTCATCAGGTCCTCGTAGACGTCGTCGCCGTCGTCGCCTTCGGCCTCAACGCAGTCGTAGAGGTCATCGTCCTCCTCGGCCGTGTCACTGCGGGGACACCGGGGACATTGGGGACACTGGGGACACCGGGGGCATTGGGGACATTGGGGGACATTGAGGATATTGGGGACACTGGGGACATTGGGGACATTGGGGACATTGGGGGACATTGGGGGCATTGGGGACACTGGGGGACATTGGGGACATTGGGGACATTGGGGGACATTGGGGGCATTGGGGGACATTGGGGGCATTGGGGACACTGGGGACATTGGGGACACTGGGGACACCGGGGACATTGGGGACACTGGGGACACTGGGGACACTGGGGACATTGGGGACACTGGGGACATTGGGGGACATTGGGGACATTTGGGACATTGGGGACATTGGGGACATTGGGGGACATTGGGGACATTGGGGACACTGGGGACACTGGGGACATTGGGGACATTGGGGGACATTGGGGGACATTGGGGACATTGGGGACACTGGGGGACTCCCCCCCGGAGCCCCCCCGAAATCCCTCGGGGGCCCCCAAATGTCCCCAAATCACACAATGGCCCCAAATGTCCCTGACTGTCCCCAAATGTCCCTGATTGTCCCCAAAACCCCCACAATGTCCCCAAATGTCCCTGACTGTCCCCAAATGTCCCCAAATGTCCCCAGTGCCACCCCCAATGACCTCCCAGTACATCCCAGTATCCCCAGTACCCCCAGTACCCCAGTATCCCCCAGTACATCCCAGTACCTCCCAGTACCTCTCAGTATCCCCCAGTATCCCCAGTATCCCCAGTACCTCCCAGCACATCCCAGTATCCCCAGTGTCCCCAGTACATCCCACCATCCCCAGTGCCCTCAGTATCCCCAGTACCTCCCAGTACATCCCAGTATCCCCAGTACATCCCAGTATCCCCAGTGTCCCCAGTACATCCCAGTACCTCCCACTACCTCCCAGTACATCCCAGTATCCCCAGTATCCCCCAATGACCCCCCAGTTTCCCCAGTACCTCCCAGTACATCCCAGTACATCCCAGTACATCCCAGTATCCCCAGTACATCCCAGTATCCCCAGTACATCCCAGTACCTCCCAGTATCCCCAGTACCTCCCAGTATCCCCAGTGCATCCCAGTATCCCCAGTGTCTCCAGTATGCCCCAGTATGCCCCAGTACGCCCAGTATGCCCCAGTACATCCCAGTATCCCCAGTACCTCCCAGTATCCCCCAGTATCCCCAGTACCTCCCAGTACATCCCAGTATCCCCAGTACATCCCAGTATCCCCAGTACCTCCCAGTATCCCCAGTACATCCCAGTGTCCCCCAGTATCCCCAGTACCTCCCAGTACATCCCAGTATCCCCAGTACATCCCAGTATCCCCAGTACATCCCAGTATCCCCCAGTATCCCCAGTACCTCCCAGTACATCCCAGTATCCCCCAGTACATCCCAGTATCCCCAGTACATCCCAGTATCCCCTGTGTCTCCAGTATCCCCAGTATGTCCCAGTATCCCCAGTACATCCCAGTATCCCCAGTACCTCCCAGTATCCCCCAGTACATCCCAGTATGCCCCAGTACATCCCAGTATCCCCAGTACCTCCCAGTATCCCCCAGTACATCCCAGTATCCCCAGTACCTCCCAGTATCCCCCAGTACATCCCAGTATCCCCAGTACCTCCCAGTATCCCCCAGTACATCCCAGTATCCCCAGTACCTCCCAGTATCCCCAGTACCTCCCAGTATCCCCAGTATCTCCCAGTACCTCCCAGTATCCCCAGTACATCCCAGTGTCCCCAGTGTCTCCAGTACATCCCAGTGTCCCCAGTGTCTCCAGTATCCCCCAGTACATCCCAGTATCCCCAGTACCTCCCAGTATCCCCCAGTACATCCCAGTATCCCCAGTACATCCCAGTATCCCCAGTACGTCCCAGTATCCCCAGTACATCCCAGTATCCCCAGTACATCCCAGTATCCCCCAGTACCTCCCAGTATCCCCAGTACATCCCAGTATCCCCAGTACCTCCCAGTATCCCCCAGTACATCCCAGTATCCCCAGTACATCCCAGTATGCCCCAGTACGTCCCAGTATCCCCCAGCACATCCCAGTATCCCCCAGTACATCCCAGTATCCCCCAGTACATCCCAGTGTCCCCAGTACATCCCAGTATCCCCAGTACCTCCCAGTACCTCCCAGTATCCCCAGTACATCCCAGTATCCCCCAGTACATCCCAGTATCCCCAGTACCTCCCAGTATCCCCAGTACCTCCCAGTATCCCCAGTACATCCCAGTGTCCCCCAGTACATCCCAGTGTCCCCAGTACCTCCCAGTATCCCCAGTACCTCCCAGTATCCCCAGTACATCCCAGTGCCCCCAGTACCTCCCAGTATCCCCAGTACATCCCAGTGTCCCCAGTACCTCCCAGTATCCCCAGTACCTCCCAGTATCCCCCAGTACATCCCAGTATCCCCAGTGTCTCCCAGTGTCCCCAGTGTCTCCAGTATGCCCCAGTATGTCCCAGTATCCCCAGTACATCCCAGTATCCCCGGTGTCTCCCAGTATCCCCCAGTACATCCCAGTATCCCCAGTACCTCCCAGTATCCCCAGTACATCCCAGTATCCCCATTATGTCCCAGTATCCCCCAGTACCTCCCAGTATCCCCAGTGTCTCCCAGTATCCCCAGTACATCCCAGTATCCCCGGTGTCCCCCGTGTCCCCGTGCTCACTCGATGAGGTCGGACAGGCCGCTGTAAATGTCATCGTCCCCAACGCTGTCCTCGGACGGGAACGGCCTGGGGGACACGGCCGGACACTGCTGGACACTGCTGGACATCACTGACCACTGGGGTGGACACTGGGACAGGACACTGCTGGACACTGCTGGACACTCGGGACACTACTGGACATCACTGACCACTGGGGTGGACACTGCTGGACACTGGGGCTGGACACTGCTGGACACTGGGGACACTGGGGTGGACACTGCTGGACACTGGGGACACTGCTGGACATCACTGACCACTGGGGTGGACACTGGGACTGGACACTGCTGGACACTGGGGACACTGGGACTGGACACTGCTGGACACTGGGGACACTGGGGCTGGACACTGCTGGACACTGCTGGACACTTGGGCTGGACACTGCTGGACACTGGGGACACTGGGGTGGACACTGCTGGACACTGCTGGACACTTGGGCTGGACACTGCTGGACACTGGGGACACTGGGGCTGGACACTGCTGGACACTGGGGACACTGCTGGACATCACTGACCACTGGGCTGGACACTGGGACTGGACACTGCTGGACACTGGGGACACTGGGGTGGACACTGCTGGACACTGGGGACACTGGGGCTGGACACTGCTGGACACTGCTGGACACTGGGGACACTGGGGCTGGACACTGCTGGACCCTGGGGACACTGGGGTGGACACTGCTGGACACTGGGGACACTGGGGCTGGATACTGCTGGACATCACTGACCACTGGCACTGGACACTGGGAGTGGACAGGAGTGACCGCTGGGACTGGACATTGGGGCTGGACACTGCTGGAGACTGGGACTGGACACTGGGACTGGACACTGGGACTGGACACTGGGGTCTCTCAGGGACTGGACACTGGGACTGGACACTGGGATCCTTCAGGGACTGGACTGGACACTGGGACTGGACACTGGGACTGGACACTGGGGTCCCTCATGGGACTGGACTGGACACTGGGACTGGACACTGGGACTGGACACTGGGGTCCCTCATGGGACTGGACTGGACACTGGGACTGGACACTGGGACTGGACACTGGGATCCTTCAGGGACTGGACTGGACACAGGGACTGGACACTGGGGTCCTTCAGGGACTGGACACTGGGACTGGACACTGGGATCCTTCAGGGACTGGACTGGACACTGGGACTGGACACTGGGACTGGACACTGGGGTCCCTCATGGGACTGGACTGGACACTGGGACTGGACACTGGGGTCTCTCAGAGACTGGACATCATGGACTGGACACTTGGGACCCTCAGGGACTGGACACTGGGACTGGACACTGGGGTCCCTCAGGGACTGGACATCATGGACTGGACACTTGGGACCCTCAGGGACTGGACACTGGGACTGGACACTGGGGTCTCTCAGAGACTGGACATCATGGACTGGACACTTGGGACCCTCAGGGACAGGACTGGACACTGGGGCTGGACACTGGGGTCCCTCATGGCACTGGACACTGGGACTGGACACTGGGGTCTCTCAGAGACTGGACATCATGGACTGGACACTTGGGACCCTCAGGGTCAGGACTGGACACTGGGGCTGGACACTGGGGTCCCTCATGGCACTGGACACTGGGACTGGAACCCCTGATCCTCAGGGACTGGACACCTGGGAACTGGACCCCATTGACCATGAGGGACTGGACACCGCTGACCCTCGGGGCTGGACACTGGGACTGGACATTTGCAACCCTCAGGGACTGGACACTGGGGTCCCTCAGAGAGGGGACTGGACACCAGGGACTGGACACTGGGACTGGACACTTGGGACCCTCAGAGGTGGGAACTGGACCTCTGGACCCTCGGGGATGGACACCCGGCCCTGTCCACTCACGTGAAGCCTTTGCTCTGCGCGATGGGCGTCCAGGAGAGCGTGGAGAGCGTCTCGATCACCTGGGGACACCGAGGGGACATCGGGGCGCTGAGGGGGGAGCCGGACGCCCGGGTGCCGCCCCCAGGACAGACGGACACCAGGGTGCCACCCCCCAGGACAGACGGACACCAGGGTGGACAGATGGACCCCGAGCCCACCCCTCAGGACAGACGGACCCCGGGGTGGACAGACGGACCCCGGGGTGGACAGATGGACCCCAAGCCCACCCCCCAGGACAGCCGGACACCCGGGTGCCACCCCCCAGGACAGACGGACCCCGGGGTGGACAACCGGACCCTGGGGTGGACAGACGGACCCCTGAGTGCCCCCAGGACAGCTGGACCCCAGGGTGGACAGACAGACCCCCAAGTGCCTCCCAGGGCAGACGGACCCCGGGGTGGACAGACGGACCCCGAGCCCACCCTTCAGGACAGACGGACCCCAGGGTGGACAGACGGACCCCAGGGTGGACAGATGGACCCCTGAGTGCCCCCCAGAACAGCCGGACCCTGGGTTGGACAGACGGACCCCGAGCCCACCTCTCAGGACAGACAGACCCCAGGGTGGACAGACGGACCCCCGGGGTGGACAGATGGACCCCGAGCCCACCCCCCAGGACAGCCGGACCCTGGGGTGGACAGGCAGACCCCATGGTGGACAGACGGACCCCAGGGTGGACAGACGGACCCTGGGGTGGACAGACGGACCCCGGGGCGGACAGACGGACCCCCGGGGTGGACAGATGGACCCCGAGCCCACCCCCCAGGACAGCCGGACCCTGGGGTGGACAGACGGACCCCGGGGTGGACAGACGGACCCCAGAGTGGACAGACGGACCCTGGGGTGGACAGACGGACCCCGGGATGGACAGACGGACCCCGGGGTGGACAGACGGACCCCGGGGTGGACAGCCGGAGCCCCGGTCCCACCTTGCCGAAGTCCTGGACGTCGAAGAGGTCGAAGGCGCCGAAGAGCCGGTGCTTGGGCAGCCCGAACTTGTCGGCGCAGGCCGTCAGGAAGGTGCGGATGTTCCTCAGGCACAGGAACTGCGGTGGCACGGGGGTGGCACCGGTGTCACCATCACCAGTGTCACCGGTGTCACCTGTGTCACCTGTGTCACCAGTGTCACCAGTGTCACCGGTGTCACCTTTGTCATCACTGGCACCTCCCGTTGTCGCCATCAAAATCAGGGTCTTTGTGTCTCCATGGTTGTGACCACCGTTGTCACCGACGGTGACGCCATCTCTGTCACCGATGCTGTCACTGTCATTGTCACCCCCGTGGACATTGCCACCATCATTGTCACTGTTACCGTCAATGACCCCACCATTGTCACCATCATTGTCCCCATCCCCATTGTCCCCACGGTGTCACTCACCTGTGACATCTGCGGCCGGGGACAGATGTCCCTGGGTGGCACTGTCACTGTCCCCTTTGTCCCCATGGTGTCACTCACCTGTGACATCTTTGACCATGGACAGATGTCCCTGGGTGGCACTGTCACTGTCCCCTTTGTCCCCATGGTGTCACTCACCTGTGACATCTGCGGCCGGGGACAGATGTCCCTGGGTGGCACTGTCACTGTCCCCATGGTGTCACTCACCTGTGACATCTGCGGCCAGGGACAGATGTCCCGGGGTGGCACTGTCACTGTCCCCTTTGTCCCCATGGTGTCACTCACCTGTGACATCTGCGGCCGGGGACAGATGTCCCGCGGTGGCACTGTCACTGTCCCCTTTGTCCCCATGGTGTCACTCACCTGTGACATCTGCGGCCGGGGACAGATGTCCCGCGGTGGCACTGTCACTGTCCCCTTTGTCCCCATGGTGTCACTCACCTGTGACATCTGCGGCCGGGGACAGATGTCCCGCGGTGGCACTGTCACTGTCCCCATGGTGTCACTCACCTGTGACATCTGCGGCCGGGGACAGATGTCCCTTGGTGGCACGGCGCGGGGCAGCAGCGCGTTCAGCAGGTGGCACAGCAGGACATTGTCACCATAATGTCCCCATGGTGTCACTCACCTGTGACATCTGCGGCCGGGGACAGATGTCCCGCGGTGGCACGGCGCGGGGCAGCAGCGCGTTCAGCAGGTGGCACAGCAGGACATTGTCACCATAATGTCCCCATGGTGTCACTCACCTGTGACATCTGCGGCCGGGGACAGATGTCCCGCGGTGGCACGGCGCGGGGCAGCAGCGCGTTCAGCAGGTGGCACAGCAGGACATTGTCACCATAATGTCCCCATGGTGTCACTCACCTGTGACATCTGCGGCCGGGGACAGATGTCCCGCGGTGGCACGGCGCGGGGCAGCAGCGCGTTCAGCAGGTGGCACAGCAGGACATTGTCACCATAATGTCCCCATGGTGTCACTCACCTGTGACATCTGCGGCCGGGGACAGATGTCCCGCGGTGGCACGGCGCGGGGCAGCAGCGCGTTCAGCAGGTGGCACAGCAGGACGCCGTCGCGCAGCGCCTGCGCCAGGTCCCACACCTGTCCCCCGGGGCTGCTGGCGCGGTGCCCCGCGGGCAGGACACGCGCGGCCACCAGCCAGTGGGCGCACTGCCGCCACGCCTCCATGGGGACACCGGGGGACACACGGGCAGGGGGCTCCTGGTGGGGTGGACTGCTGGAGGTGGGTCCTGGTGGGGTGGACTTCAATGGAGGAACTGATGGAGGTGGGTCCTGGTGGGATGAACTTTTGTGGAGGAACTGATGGAGGTGGGTCCTGGTGGGATGAACTTTTGTGGAGGAACTGATGGAGGTGGGTCCTGGTGGGATGAACTTCAATGGAGGAACTGATGGAGGTGGGTCCTGGTGGGATGAACTTCAATGGAGGAACTGGTGGGATGAGGTTCAGTGGAAGAACTTCAGTGGAGGTGGGTCCTGGTGGGGTGAACTTCAATAGAGGAACTGACGGAGGTGGGTCCTGGTGGGATGAACTTCAATGGAAGGACTTCAATAGAGGTGGCTCCTGGTGAGATGAACTTCTGTGGGGGAACTTCGATGGAGGTGGGTCCTGGTGGATGAACTTTTGTGGAGGAACAGTTGGAGGTGGGTCCTGGTGGGATGAACTTCTGTGGAGGAACTTCAATGGAGGTGGGTCCTGGTGGGATGAACTTAATGGAAGAACTTCAATGGAGGTGGATCTTGGTGGGATGAACTTCAATGGTGGTGGGTCCTGGTGGGATGAACTTCTATGGAGGTGGGTCCTGATGGGGTGAACTTCAATGGAGGAACCAGTGGAGGTGGGTTCTGGTGGGTTGAGCTTCTGTAGAACTTCTATGGAGGTGTGTCCTGGTGGGATGAACTTTTGTGGAGGAACTGATGGAGGTGGGTCCTGGCGGGATGAACTTCAATGGAGGAACTGGTGGGATGAGGTTCGGTGGAAGAACTTCAGTGGAGGTGGGTCCTGGTGGGGTGGACTTCAATGGAGGAACTGATGGAGGTGGGTCCTGGTGGGGTGAACTTCAATGGAGGTGGGTCTTGGTGGGATGAACTTCAATAGAGGAACTGACGGAGGTGGGTCCTGGTGGGATGAACTTCAATGGAAGAACTTCAATAGAGGTGGCTCCTGGTGAGATGAACTTCTGTGGGGGAACTTCGATGGAGGTGGGTCGTGGTGGATGAACTTTTGTGGAGGAACAGTTGGAGGTGGGTCCTGGTGGGATGAACTTCTGTGGAGGAACTTCAATGGAGGTGGGTCCTGGTGGATGAACTTAATGGAAGAACTTCAATGGAGGTGGATCTTGGTGGGATGAACTTCAATGGTGGTGGGTCCTGGTGGGATGAACTTCTATGGAGGTGGGTCCTGATGGGGTGAACTTCAATGGAGGAACCAGTGGAGGTGGGTTCTGGTGGGTTGAGCTTCTGTAGAACTTCTATGGAGGTGGGTCCTGGCGGGATGAACTTCAATGGAGGAACTGGTGGGATGAGGTTCGGTGGAAGAACTTCAGTGGAGGTGGGTCCTGGTGGGGTGAACTTCAATGGAGGAACTGATGGGATGAAGTTCAGTGGAGGTGGGTCCTGGTGGGGTGAGACCCTGGTGGAGATGAGATCCCGGTGGAGATGAGACCCCAACGGAGGTGAGATCCTGGTGGATATAAGATCCTGGTGGAGATAAGATCCCAATGGAGATGGGATCCTGCTGGAGATGGGATCCTGGTGTCACCACTCCTCTCCAGACCAGCCCCAGCTGAGGACACCTCTGGATGACCCCTGGACACCCCTGGACACATCTGGACACCTCTGGACACATCTGGACACCCCTGGACACCTCTGGACACCCCCTGGACATCCCTGGATGGCCTCTGGACAGCCCTGGACACCCCTGGACCCATCTGGACACCCCAGGACACCCCAGGACACATCTGGACACCCCTGGACACCCCTGGACCCATCTGGACACCCCAGGACACCCCAGGACACATCTGGACACCCCTGGATGACCCCTGGACACATCTGGACACCCCAGGACACCTCTGGACACCCCAGGACACCCCAGGACACCCCAGGACACATCTGGACACCCCTGGATGACCCCTGGACACCACTGGATGACCCCTGGACACATCTGGACACCCCTGGATGACCCCTGGACACCACTGGATGACCCCTGGACACATCTGGACACCCCTGGACACCCCTGGACCCCCCTGGACCAACCTGAGCTTCTCCAGCCCCTCCTGGGCCTCCTCGGGGCTCGGGAGGTTCCTCCCGCCCAGGAAAGGAGGAACCGGAGGCGCCGGGGCCACCGCGGGGCCACCGCGGGTGACGAGTGACAAACGGCGCCGCCGCCGCGTCCCCACGGTCCCGGCGGGCTCCTCCTCCTGCTCCGGTGGCCCCGGTGGAGCTCCTGCGGTGGCCGGAGGTGGTGGCCCTGGTGGTGGCCCTGGGTCACTCCCCGGAGGTGACACCGGGGACAACGGAGGTGGCGCCTGCGCCCCGGGGGTGACACAGGAGGTGACACAGGAGGTGACACAGGACGCGGCTTCCTGTCCCAGCCGCGGTGGTGGCACCAGCGGGGAGGAGCTGCCACCAGGGGGGTGGTGGCCTCGAGGGGACAACGGGGGGACGTGGGACACGGGGGGGGAACTGATCTTCTGGGGCTGCTGGAGAGGGGACGGGGGCACAGGAGGGTCCAGGTGGGATGGACGTGGTGGTCCAGAAGAAATTCAGATGGTCTGGACGTGGTGGGCCAGGAGGTCCAGGAGAGGTTCAGGTGGTCTGGACATGGTGGAGGTGGGTCCTGGTGGGCTGGATGTGGTGGAGATGGCTCCAGGTGGTCTGGACACAGTGGTCCAGGAGAGGTTCAGGTGGGGTGGACATGGTGGAGGTGTGTCCAGGTGACCTGGAAATGGTGGCCTATGGAGTCCAGGAGAGGTCCAGGTGACCTGGACATGGTGGAGATGGGTCCAGGTGGTCTGGACATGGTGGAGGTGGGTCCAGGTGGGCTGGACATGGTGGAGGTGGGTCCAGGTGGGCTGGACATGGTGGACCAAAGGGTCCAGGTTGTCTGGATGTGGTGGCCCAGGAGGTCCAGGAGGTCCAGGAGACCTGGACATGGGGGACCAGGAGGGTCCAGGTGGGCTGCACATGGTGGACCAAGGGGTCCAGGTGGGCTGGATGTGGTGGAGGTGGGTCTGGTGGGCTAGACATGGTGGCCGAGGAGGTCCTGGTGGGGTGGATGTGGTGGAGATGGGTCCAGGTGGGCTGGATGTGGTGGACCAGGAGGTCCAGGAGAGGTCCAGGTGGGCTGGGCATGGTGGCCCAGAGGGTCCAAGAAGGGTCCAGGTGGTCCGGACGTGGTGGTCTCAAAGGGGTCCAGGTGACCTGGACATGGTGGCCCAGAGGGTCCAGGACCTGTCAGGGATCTCAGGATGGACCCAGGTGCCCAGGCCCAGGTGGGCCCCAGGTGTCCAAGTCCCACCAAGTGTCCAGAATGTCACCAGGACCTTCCAGGTGCCACCAGGGTGACCCAGCTGTCCATGACCTATTGAGGGGGGGTCTCAGGGAGGACCAGGCCAGAACTGTCCCCTGCTGTCCCCACTGTCCCCTCTGTTCCCAGCTGTCCCCTCGTGTCCCTCACTGTCCCTCGCTGTTCCTGCTGTTCCCCATTGTCCCCTTCTGTCCCCTGATGTCCCCTGCTGTCCCCACATCTCCCGCTGTCCCTTCTGTCCCCAGTGTCCCCTCTGTCCCCTGCTGTCCCCTCCTGTCCCCTGATGTCCCCTAGTGTCCCTCAGCATCCCCTCCTGTCCCTGCTGTCCCTGGCGTCCCCCTGTCCCTTAGGATGTCCCCATGTCCCCTTTGGTGTCACACCATGGCCATGAAGTGTCCCATCACATCAATGTGTCACAGCATGACCGTGACACATCCCCGTCATGGCCATGACGTGTCCCCATCATGGTGACATGTGACACATCATCACTGATGTCCCACCATGACATGTCCCCACCATGGCCACCAAGTGTCCCACCATGGCAATGCAGTGTCCCACCACATCAACGTGTCCCACCATGGCCAGGACATGTCCCCACCATGGCCAGGGCGTGTCCCCACCATGACCATGATGTGCCCCACCCTGGACATGTGTCCCCATGTCCCCATGTCCCGGTGTGCCACCATGACAATGTAGTGTCCCATCACATCGTGTCCCACCATGACCATGACACGTCCCCACCATGGTGACATGTGACATCTCATCATTGATGTCCCATCATGACGGGTCCCACCGTGGCCATGACATGTCCCCACCATGTCCATGACGTGTCCCACCCTGTCCCCGTGTCCAGGTGTCCCCGTGTCCCCGTGTCCCACCATGACCATGAAGTTACTCATCACATCAACGTGTCCCACCATGGCCAGGACACGTCCCCACCATGGCCATGATATGTGCCCCCCGTCCCCGTGTCCGGGTGTCCCTGTGTCCCCGTGCCCCACCATGGCCAGGACATGTCCCCACCATGACCATGACCATGACATGTCCCCATCATGACCATGGCATGTCCCATGACATCAGCGTGTCCCACCATGACCATGACGTGTCCCACCATGGCCATGAAGTGTCCCACCACGACCATGACATGTCCCATGACATCAGCGTGTCCCACCGTGGCCATGAAGTGTCCCACCATGACTGTGACGTGTCCCACCACAGCCATGATGTGTCCCATCACATCAGCGTGTCCCACCATGACCATGACTTGTCTCCACCATGACCAGGACACTTCCCCACCATGGCCATGACTTCTCCCACCCTGCCCCCGTGTCCCCGTGTCCCTGTGTCCCACCATGGCCATGACGTGTCCCCCCGTGTCCCCGTGTCCCTGTGTCCCCGTGTCCCACCATGACCATGAAGTTACTCATCACATCGTGTCCCACCATGACCATGACGTGTCTCCACCATGACCAGGACACGTCCTCACCACGGCCATGACGTGTCCCCCCCTACCCCCGTGTCCCCGTGTCCCTGTGTCCCACCATGGCCATGATGTGTCCCCCCGTGTCCCCGTGTCCCACCATGACCATGGTGTCCCACCACGACCATGACATGTCCCACCATGGCCATGACGTGTCCCCCC